ATCATCGTAAAAAGGCAGTCTTAGGAGTGTTTTCTTTTCCAGTCAGAAAAGTTTCCCAGTTGTGTTTTTTTTTCCTTTCTTTTCAATTCTTTCGGGGGTTTTGGGGGGGGGGGGGGGCTGTCCCTGGTCTTTGGGAAACACTGGTTTGCACACTACAGGTATTTGTGATGAATATGTGGCAGTGCATGTTGGTTTTATTTTTAGTCTGTAAGGACTGTTCTGATGATTGCAACATCTCTGTTTTATTGTTGTAACACTATATGGGATTGTGATGTTCTATGGTCTGTGCTCTCTAAGTGTACCCTCTTCAAAGATGCTCAATAATATCTGAGAAAAATACAAAAAAATAAACAGCAGCCAAAATATTAAGTTTTTACAAACCCTTTAACCCTTTCACTGCCAGGTCCGTATGGCGTACGGACTTATCGCACTGCTTCTAGCTAGCCAGGTCCAACTTGAATTCCTCCTCTGCTATAAGCTCATGGTCACTTCAGGCCAGGGCCTGGCAGTGTAAGGGTTAAAGGGTAACTACTTTCATTAAAAAAAAAAAGCAAAAGAATAATAATAATAATAATATATATATATATATATATATATACACAGTTGCAAGAAAAAGTATGTGAACCCCTTGGGATTACGTGGAGTTTTGCATGAATTGGGCATAAACTACGTCATCTAAGTCACAACGATACGATAGAACACAGTCTGCTGAACAATATACTACACAAACATTAGATGTTGCCATGGTTTAATTGCACATAACATGTAAACATTCACAGTGCAGGGAGGAAAAAGTATGTGAACCTTTGGACTTAATAACTGGTTGACCCTCCTTTGGCAGCAATAACCTCAACCAAACGTTTCCTGTAGTTGCAGATCAGACCTGCACAACGATCTGGAGTCATTTTGGACCACTCCTCTTCACAAAACTGTTTCAGTGTAGCAATATTCTTGGGATGTCTGGTGTGAAATCGCTCTCTTAAGGTCATGCCACAGCATTTCAATCGGGTTGAGGTCCGGACTCTGACTGGGCCACTCCAGAAGGCGTATTCTGTGCTGTTGCAGCCATTGTTTTGTTGAATTACTTGTATGCTTTGGGTCATTGTCCTGTTGCATCACCCATCCTCTGCGGAGCTTCAGTTGGCGGACAGATGGTCGTACGTTTTCCTGCAAAATGTCTTGATAAACTCTGGAATTCATTTTCCCATCAATGACAACAATCCGTCCAGGCCCTGAGGCAGCAAAGCAGCCCCAAACCATGATGCTCCCTCCGCCATGTTTCACAGTGGGGAGGAGGTTTTGATGTTGGTGTACTGTGCTTTTTTTCTCCACACATAGTGTTGTGTGTTCTTCCCAAACAACTCAATCTTGGTGTCTTCTGTCCACAGTATATTTTGCCAGTAGTGCTGTGGAACATCGAGGTGCTCTTTTGCAAACTCCAAACGTGCTGCGATATTCTTTTTGACAGCAATGGCTTCCTCCGTGGTGTCCTCCCATGTACTCCATTCTTGTTTAATGTTTTCCTTATTGTAGATGTGTCAACAAAAATGTTAGCATGTGCCAGAGATGTCTGTAGGTCTTTAGCTGACACTCTGGGATTTTTCTTTACCTCATGCAGCATTCTGCGCTGTGCTCTTGCAGTCATTTTTACAGGATGACCACGCCTAGGGAGAGTAGCAACAGTGCTAAACTTTCTCCATTTGTAGACAGTCTGTCTTACCGTGGACACATGAACATCAAGGCTTTTGGAGATACTTTTGTAACCCTTTCCAGCTTCATGCAAGTCAACAATTCTTGATCGTAGGTCTTCTGAGAGCTCTTTTCTGCGAGGCATGGTTCACATCAGACAGTTTCTTGAAACCAGTAAACCCAAAACAGGTGTGTGTTTTTTAAGGGCAGGACAGGTGTCAGCAACACATCCAATATCATCACACTGATTGGAGTCAAGGTTGGCTCACTCCTGGCTCCAATTAGCTCTGGGAGTAGTCATTAAGCTAGGGCCTCACATACTTTTTCCTCCCTGCACTGTGAATGTTTACATGTTATGTGCAATTAATCCATGGCAACATCTAATGTTTGTGTAGTATTATGTTCAGCAGATTGTGTTCTTCTATTGTTGTGACTTAGATGACATTCAGAGCACATTTTATGCCCAATTCATGCAAAACGCCACGAAATTCCAAGGGGTTCACATACTTTTTCTTGCAACTGTATATATATATATATAGTATACAAAAGACATATTCTAAATTAATGTTATTAAAAATCACCTTTCCTTTTCAAACTGCAGCCACCAGGGGTGGACTGACAACTCATTGGGCCCCCCGGGCAATAGGGGATCATGGGGCCCCTGTGTCCTTGCCCAACTCAAAAAAGCCTATGAAAAGATACCAGGGGCCTCTCATGGGGCCCCCTACTGACCCCGGGCCCTCGGGCAGTGCCCGAGTTTCCAAATGGTCAGTCCGCCCCTGGCAGCCACTGAAATTTTCTGTAAACTTCTGGAGGCATTCTGTACATAGTTGATCATGTAATTTCCTGCTTGTGTGATTGGCTTACTGATTTTCCTAGAGGTCTGTACTGCGAGTTACAACTTAAATTTTAAGCATCCTCTGGAATAAGGATTATATTTTTCTGAGATGCTCCCTAATGCTGGCCATACATATATAGATTTTTGGATGAGAATATTTGTACAAAAATTCTTTACCCATTCGATGAATGGACAAATGTTTGAAAATTTCCCATGCTTTTAACATTCAGTTTGAAATTAATGTATATTCTGAACAAAAACCACATACATTGTCTGAAAATTCGTTGAATTAGGAAAAGTTTTCTATTCTGCTACTTTGAATTTTCCCATCACTTTGGTCGGAAACGAACGTCGATTTGACCCCACTAAAGATAAGAATATTGAATGAAAGGTCTTAAAAATCTACAAATGCATGGCCAGCCTAAGGAATAATTACTTCTAAAGAGACGCAGACACAGCAACTTTTTTCATTAGAAATTGTGAAAGTGCATCATTATATTATATTGAACACAGACGTTCCCATTTAGGAATCAGTATTCCAAGGACATAGCTTTTTCTTAAGAACAGAAACAGGCAGGAATCTGCAACAAAGTTTGAAATGCATAGATCACCTAGAGGTGATTGAGTTTTTTCCCAGTAAAAGTTATTTTTTTTAACTATTTTATACTGCAGTATAGAATAGTATATAGTGTTTTGACTTTCCACTCCTTGTTATCACATCAGCTATTTCCCAATCTTGAACTAGATAATATGCAGCTGCAGAGATCCTCAAATGTTTCTTGGATCAGAGCCAGTTGTATACCCACTTCATTGCAATTTGATGGATCCATAGCTGGACATATCATACCCCATGCAGTAGTTTTTACTTCAGTTAAAAAAAATCAAGACTTTATGTTCCCTTTAAACAATACATGTAAGTATATCCACAATGATGTTGGTTCTGTCTTTATACCACAGGTACTGATATGTGTGCTCTGGGAAGACATGACTGCGAGCATATCTGTGTGGCCACTGCTACCTCCTATCAGTGCAAGTGTCGTGCTGGATTCTTTCTCAACCCAGACAAGAAGACCTGTTCACGTAAGTATGGCATGTATTTACCATTGTTAAAAGGAAAGGCTTTTTTGCCCATAACAATCAGAGTCCATCTACCATTTAAAGTGTAGGCTGGTATCAACAAGTGGTATGGCCTCTGAAGTTCATGGCTTTGCCAGGATGGGAGCAAATCAGTGGAAAAACAGACAGACCCCAGGGTAATCTTTGGATCTTTGGCCCTTCTTACTAGGCATTCCCTCCAGTGGGTATTCTATTATCCCTCTCCATGATGGGCATCTTCTTTTACAAATACCCACCTATAAACAGAAAAAAGTCCTAAAAAAAGAAAAAACTAATTTATTCACCACATTTAAGAATTGGTAAGCTGCAATATACTTAAGTACTGTATATTACATTTTTGTTACTGGGTTTTACAGCTTTCATTGATTTTGTTAAAGTGAAATTAAACTACCCAAAATACCTCCACCTTCCAGTGATGTGGCTGTTCTACCCTTCGTTGGCTGCTGTCATCTTTTCCCTACTTCTGGGTGCTGGATTTTCATCCTCCTTATTGGCCAGTTGGGGATGATGTCAGCCTGCACATGCACATAGGAGTCAAACATTCCAGGACAAACAGAGTGTGTCGGGAATGCGCATCTCAGTTTACATTCAATAGAAGATTGAGAGCAGAAGGGTGTGTTATTGCTAGGGGCGGACTGACCATTCGGGCGCTTGGGCAGTGCCCGAGGGCCCGGGGCCACTAGAGGGCCCCATGAGAGGCTCAGTCAGTCCTCTGGATATGCGCTGCTGAAAAGGAGGAAAAAAGGAAGTGTTGCAACGGGGCAGCGCCACGGCAGGCACTTCAGACACCTCTCCTCGGAGTTTCCTCACAGGGTCGGGTCCCACATCCCTGCCACAGGATGGGCGGCCAGAGAAGAGAGCGGAGTCATCGTTGTGCTGACCTGCCCTGTATCCTGTCAGTGTGTAATCCCCCGACCCCGGGGACACTGACAGCACTGCAGCTTAACCTCCTCCCGCCCACCATATAAGGAAATGACAGGTGGGTGGCGGTTCTCTTGTTTTGGGAGGACTTCGTATGATGTCCTCCCACTCCAACGATCGGTGGTGCACTGTGCCCCGGGGACACAGCGGATCACTGATCAGCGGAAAGAGCTGAAGACATCGGCTCGGTCATGTGATCAGCTGTGTCCAATCACAGCTGATCACATGTAAATAAGGAAATGCCGGTTATCGGCATTCCTCTCCTCACCAGCTGTCACGCTGACAGCTCAAGAGGAGAGGAGAGCCGGTAATGGGCATTACTCAGAGGGGATATCTACACTTATCATCAGGGCACTGATCAGTGCCCTGATGATCAATGTAGCCCCATCAGTGCCACCTGTCAGTGTCCGTCAATGCCACCTGTCAGTGCCAATCAATGCCACATATCATTGCTAATCAATGCCACATATCAGTGCCTACCAGTGCACATAAATGCCACATATCAGTGCCCATCTGAGCTGCCTATCAGTGCTAGCCAGTGCCGCCTATGAGTGCTGCCAATGCCTGAGTGCCAATCAGTGCCGCCTATCAGTGCCTGTCAGTACCACCTAACAGTGCCAGTCAGTGCTGCCTGTCAGTGCCGTCTATCAGTGCCATATATGAGTACTGCCTATCAGTACCCATCAGTGATGTCTGTCAATGCCCATCAGTGCCACCTACCAGTGCGTCCTCATCAGTGCCCATCAGTGCTGCCTTATCAGTGCCCATCACTGCAGCCTCATTAGCGCACATCAGTGAAGGAGAAAAATTACTCATTTACAAAATTTTATAACAGAAACTAAGAAAATTTTTTTTTTTTAATTTTCAGTTGTTTTTTGGTTAGTTTAGCAAAAAATAAAAACCCTGAGGGGATTAAATACCACCAAAAAAGCTCTATCTGTCTAAAAAAAAAGATAAAAATTTCATACGGGGACAGTGTTGCATGACCGCGCAATTGTCAAAGTGTGACAGCGCTGAAAGCTGAAAATTGGCCTGGGCAGGAAGGGGGAATAGGTGCCTGGTAGGCAAGGGGTTAATAGTAGTCTTCTATTCTATATTCCCTATATAAAACAGTGATATCTGTACACTGAGTGGCACCCAGTGTACAGATTTATCAGTGTTATATATAGGGAACAGCATGCAATGTACAGATATCAGTGTTATATACAGTGGCTTGAAAAAGTCTTCCTCACGACTGAAATGTCCCCCATGTTGCCATGTTACAATGTATTCCCCCCCCAAATGTCCCCCATGTTGTCATGTTACAATGTATTCCCCCCCCGAAATGTCCCCCATGTTGTCATGTTACAATGTATTCCCCCCCCTGAAATTCCCCCCCAAAATGTCCCCCCCTGAAATGTCCCCCATGTTGTCATGTTACAATGTATTCCCCCCCTGAAATGTCCCCCATGTTGTCATGTTACAATGTATTCCCCCCCCTGAAATGTCCCCCATGTTGTCATGTTACAATGTATTCCCCCCCTGAAATGTCCCCCATGTTGTCATGTTACAATGTATTCCCCCCCTGGATGTCCCCCATGTTGTCATGATGTATTTATTGACTGGATGTGATAGGCCAACACAAAGTGGCACATAAATTGTGAAGTGGAAGGAGAATGAGAAATGGTTCCAACATTTGTGACCAATAAATCTGTGAAAAGTGTGGAGGCATTTGTATTCGGCTCCCTGGAGTCAGTATTTTGTAGAACCCCCTTTGGCTGCAGTTCCATCTGCAAGTCTTTTTGGGGACGTCTCTCCCAGCTTTGCACATCTACAGAGGGACATTTCTGCCCATTCTTCTTTTCAGAATCACTCAAGCTCTGTTATTGGATGGAGAGCATCTGTGAACAGCAATTTTCAGGTCTGGCCACAGATTCTCCATTGGATTTCGGTCTGGATTGTGACTGGGCCATTCTAACACATGAATATGCTTTGTTTAGAAGGTTTGGAGACCCCAAATTTAGATCAAAGGGCCAGTTTACTGTCCTTCAGGTTTTTGGGGGCGGACTGTGGTCTTTGGGATCAGAAATTGTCCTGGCATCAGTGGGAGTAAACCATGCATCTTTAGTATTAGGGGAGGAATAGCATCCCACCTTTGGTGTCAATGGGAGGAATAGCGCCCCATCATTGGTATCAGTGGGAGGAATAGTGCCCCATCATTGGTAGTCAGTGAAAGGAATAATGTGCCTTATCATTCATGTCAGTGAAAGAATAGTGACACATCATTGGTGTCAGTGGGAAGAATAGTGACCCTATCATTGGTGTCAGTGGGAGGAATAGTGCCCTATCATTGGTGTCAGTGGGAGGAATAGTGCCCTATCATTGGTGTCAGTGGGAGGAATAGTGCCCTATCATTGGTGTCAGTGGGAGGAATAGTGCCCTATCATTGGTGTCAGTGGAAGGAATAGGAAAAATTCATTAAAACCTTCATTTTGAAATGTACCATTGTTGCGCTCTCTTTAATGTAAGTTTTTTTTTCTTTATTTTGTGTAATAAACATTTATTTTGAACATACTATAGAGATATTCTGTGACAAACGCATCTATTGCGGGCAGTGTATTATGTAGGTGGGGCTTTGTGTGGGTGCGGCTTGAGTGGGCAGGGACACAGGGGGCCCCATGATCTCCTATTGCCCGGGAGCCCCATGAGTTGTCAGTCCGCCACTGGTTATTGCAGAAGAGATGTATGTCTCTTCTGCTATAAAAAGCTGTTAGGTCACAGTTTTTAACGTTAGGTTTAGTTCATCTTTAAGAACCGGTGTCACTTGGCTTGGGCTTGTGTCAATGGCATGACATTGACAGTTTGAGACGCAGTTTGTGTACAGAACTTCCCCAGAAATGTAATTTTTTGCTTGTATGATTAGCTCACTGATTTTCCCAGAGGTCCGCACTAAGATACAAGTCACATTTTAAGAATCCTCTGCAATAAGAATTATATATGTGGTGAAATGATCCCTAAGGGTTAATTTCTTCCAAAACGTTGCAGACACAGCAATTTTCCTCATTAGAAGTGTGAAAGTGCATCATCGTATTATATTGAACACAGACACTCCTATTTAAGAATCAGTATTCCAAGGACATAGTGAAACAGTTTTTTCTTAAGAACAGAAACAGGTAGGAATCTGCAACAAATTTTTCAATATATAGATCACCTAGGGGGCATTGTTTTTTTCTCAGCAAAAGTTACTCTTTAAATATTTTATACTGTAGTATAGAATAGTATATAGTGTTTTGACTTTCCTCCTTAGCCATTTCCCATTCCCAAACTACAAATTTTGTGGCTGCAGAGATCCTCAAATGTTTATTGGATCAGAACTAGTTGTATACTCGTTTCATAGTAATTTGATGGATCTGTGGCTAGACAGTTCCATATCCAAATCAAGACTTTATGTTCCCTTTAACAATACATGTAAGCGCATCCACAACGATGTTGAGTGTACACAAACCATCAATGCATCTAATAGTATACCAAATATATCTATCTATCTATCAAGGTAAATCAACATATAGATGTGTAAATAGATTCAATATAAAATCTCACCAAATGCCATGTGATAAAATTATATTGCTTAATGAAAAAAAATGTGCAAATACAATTTGTCCTACAATCTATGTGAATCACAACCAAACTTGGTGGAACTCCAACCACTTCCACCACCTGTGGCTCCATTTCCACCACCTCCGGTTCAGGCTCCCTGCTCCTTGCTCACCACTATCACTTGTAAACACAGAAGCCTGCCTTCTGTGTTTACAAGTGACAGCTTGTCAATCAATGGCTCCCACAGATCTAATCTCCTGCAAGAGGGGGACAAGTGAGATGCAGGTGCCTGAGGACCAAACTGCTCATGGGTGGGAGGGGGACATCGTGTGGTAGGTTGCACCCTCTGTAATCTCCATTTTTCCCCTAGTTCCTGGATGCCGATGCCCCTGCTCGATGATCTCTCTGCAATTAAAAAAAGCAGAGCTTACTACTTTGTTTGGGGAGGTAGAGTTGGCTGGGTCCTTCAGCTTTATACAGCAACAAAATTAGAACACATGGAAAATGGTGGAGCTTTTAAGGAGGGGGAGAAGATGAGGCAGTGCAGGGGGGTTGTGTGCAAAGGTGAGAGCTGAGGAGGGGGTGAAAGTGAGATGTAGAGGTTACCAGCTGTGGAACAGGGCTGAAATCTGCATTCCGTGTGTAGTGCCCTTCTGAAATCTGTATGTATTGCACCCTTGAACTCTGCACTCTGTGTGTAGCACACCCCTGAACTCTGCGTGTAGTTCACCCCTGAACCTTGCACTCTGTATGTAATGTACTCCTGGCATTTAATGCCCCTTAAGACCCTCCCAATGTTAGTGATATTTGGCCACACCTACTATTTGAAGGGGTTTGTGTGTAGGGGGGGGGGTTGGTTCTGGGGCATAGTTGAGTTCCTTCACCTATTCTGAGAAAAAAAGCCCTGGTAGGCCATGATGCCTTCCACACACGTCTACTGCTCTGCTTGCTCTACTGGGTTGAAGATTTGGATAGAGCTATTAGAGGTAATGCGGGATATTCATTTATTTTCTTCTTAATGTTGATTGCGTTTTTACACTACAGGCATTGATGTGTGTGCTCTGGGGAGACATGACTGCGAGCAGATCTGTGTGGCTACTGCTACCTCCTATCAGTGCAAGTGTCGCGCTGGATATTCTCTCAACCCAGACAAGAAGACCTGTTCACGTAAGTCTGAAACATTATGGGTGGCATATATTTACAATTGTTAGAAGAAAAAGCTTTGTTTGTCCATAACAACCAGAGTCCAGCTGCCATTTATAGTGTAGGCCGGCATCCACAAGTGATATGGCCTTTGAAGTTCATGGCTTTGCCAGGATGGTAGCAAATCAGTCATGCAACAGACCCCAGGGTAATCTTTGGCCTCTCTTACTAGGCATTCCCTCCAGTGGATATTCTATTATCCTTTTCTGTGCTGGCTATCTTTTACCAGTACTCACCTATATCACCTCCATAACAGCATGTACTTATTTTAGAATTAGAATTATGCTTTCAGGTCATAGAAATCCCTGCAGAGCTGTGCATTTGAAAACATCAAGAAGTGTCCCTAAGCCAATCCAGTAACTGGTCTGCAGCAGTGTCAAGGTCTTAATGAATTCATTCAGAGTGCTTCACATTTTTAGTAATGACAACAATGTTATAAGACTGTAGTGGAGGTAATGAGAGGAAGAGTGGACTTGCTCCTTTTTTTGACCAGTGTTCCCTTTCACTGAGAAAATACAGCAGGGAAGACACATAGGGAATTGGGGCCTGCCCAATTCTACCCAAAAAAGCCAGTTTTGGAAGGACTTACACTTTACATTTCTACAGTTTTTAACATGTAGGAATCTCTTTAACTTATCTAAGTTGTCTAAGAGAAAAAAAATATACAGCTTTTAACCCTTCCGTTAATTTCTCTTTTTTGTTCTTGTTTTTATTATAGAGGAAGCACAGAGGGTTGTACAAAAAGAGGACCCTTGCAAATGTGAAAGTCTGATTGCCTTCCAAAACAAAGTGAACACATACATTGAATCACTGACTTCAAAACATATCCTTTACCTGATATATTTTTGTTTCTTCAAAACAGGCACATATCTGAAACTGTGTAGGTTGTGTTCCAATGTGAGTTAACACACAGCAGTATTGAGGCGAGGCACCCACATTCTAATGATATCTGGAGATATTAGATCAGACACATAAAACTCACATGAAAATCCTAATTGAGCAGGGGCTTTCCAAACTCAGGTGTCAGCAGAGGTTCAAGGCTCTAGCAGGGGCGGACTGACAACTCATGGGGCCCCCGGGCA